AATCCCTGTCCTTCTTCCGATGAGCTATAAATATCTAAGGGACTCAGCGACTGATCCTACAGTGAGTTCCTGCCCTTCCCCACTTTCTAAAGCAGCACTTTTAAGAAGAGGCCAGGGAAACATGTAAATACTTTGAACCAAATTCCAAAAGTCTCCGAGCATGCACAAGTTAAAATGAAACCAAGGTTCCATTTCTCCAAGTACCTGGCCCCTAGTGCAAAATTATAGACACTCCCCAGAAATCTGAAACAGCAACTTCATAACTGATAGAAATGTTATTTATCTATTGACTTCTGGGAATTACCAATAAAAAAAAAACCTAGTGACGGTGATATCCTGAGGAAAAGATCTCATGTGTCTTTACAGATCAGTATGATCTAAACTGGAACTTTATACACTTAAATGCCTAATTCGTAGCTCTCTGGCGATTGCCTGGTGTCACTACAGGGCAAAATTAAGGTTGGTGCCTTAGCTGGGAATTTCCATCCCCTAGCATATTGTGATTGCTGTTAAGTGGGTTTGGCAAAATTCATTTTGTCTATTTCTTTCTTTTAATTTCAATAGATGATATTGATATTTATTTTTAAGCCCTTTTTTCAACATTTATAATTTCAAAGTTCAGAGCTGTGGGAAGTTATGGGGGCCATCAGACAACAATTATTTAATAACAGTAAATGTTGAGATTCCAAAAGCCAAATCATATAACTGTTCAAAGAGAAATTGTCAATGTCACATGCAAAATATAGTGTAAATATCCTTAAATCAAACTTGACTTTCTCCAGAAGCATTTCTGTACATTACCTATATAAATATTTTTCGTGTGTGTGTACACAGTGAAATCAACATTTACCGCAATTTACTCATAAAAATCCAATCCTTTCAAGCGTAATTTTAAGTAATGAAGTACTTGAATTCTTTCACTTCCTGGACTGTAGTGCTTCATTTCAGGATAATTACACCCTCCCTGTGATGTATTTTACTCTCAGTACCATAACCCCATCTGATGTAGCTCCTGTCTGGGAGCTCTGCTGAGGCCAGTGGCATTATGATCAGAAGACGACACTGACAAATGAGCAGAGACACCTGGGGGAGGGTGGAGGATGAGGTAACATGGAGTCTACCAGAATTGAACATGGCCCTACAGAATGTGGAGAGCAAACTCCCTCTCAGCCTCTCCTCTCCCCCACCACCCAGAGTCAGTAACTCTGATAAATTGTTCCCTGAAATCTAAATAGCCCCAGTATGAGACACTGTGATTAATGCAGGTACCTTAGGGGCTGCAGTGCCAGCCCCCTGCCTTGATGAGGGGGGTGAAAAATTGCAGTAGAAACGGGTTAGGCTGCGAGAGGGCACAGCTGATGTGGGACTGGGAGCAGAGTTGACCAACAAGCCAGAACTCATGGGGGGTCTGGGAGAAGTCAACAGGACTGAGTAGAGGCACTTCAGTGTATTTTCCCCATTAACCATTCTGCCATGTATTTAATTTAGAAACTTTTCATTCACATCTAAAGACCTTGGAGCTAAGCTGGGTTGATGCATTTCCACTTACAGTGGTACAGTTTTAATTAGGTGCTTAATCAGATGCTTATGCAAGACAAAGCAGTCAATAATCAGCGTGCTTTCATTAATTAACTTGACTGTGCTGTGCATCGCTTTTAAAAAAGATGGTGTGAGCAAGCGTCAAAATGTTAGGCATTAAGAAATGGTAATTAGGTGTCAGTTCATTTCTCATGCATTTATCTCGTAATTTTAATTTCAGTTTTGAATCAGTATTAACACCATGTTGTTTTAATAGCATTAGGGTCTATTTGTATAATTGTTTGCAAGATTTCATTGGATATTGAGAACCAGCAGTCTTAATCTTTTATTTTGAGATTCCTAAATACAATCCAGCGCACCACTCCTGAAAGGCTGCAAGCCCTGGCCGGTGACATATTCCTAAGGCTACATCCTCACTACGGGGGGGGGGGGGGGGGGGGGGG